AAGTATAGTCCTACAGCCATGTATTATTTCAGTATTAGTTGTTTTCCTTCGAGAAGTCATCATGTTTTTATATGTCATTGTACATTTCTTCTGTCTGGTTTTATTTGATCGAATGCATAATACAATATAACACTAAAGCTAAGCTAAAAAGCCACAATACTGTACATAAATGTGTGTCATGCTCAGCATAATGACCATTTGTCCAATTAAAAACATTTTTTAAACGGGCTGTGAAATTGTTAGGATATAATAACATGAGTTTAAAGACAATGTCGTTTTACCTAGACGGTATTACAACTTTATTTTTCATTTTTTCACCTCCATCACAGCTGTGCGGAAGTGACACAGCAGGCGCGCGCCCCGTCACGTCACGCGAGAAAGCAGAGAAGCAGAGCGAGACAAAAAAACATCAACAACACTCCGCAGCAGATCTAGTTCGCGGTAGTGCGCAGACATGTCCGACACGTCGTTAAAAGCCCTAAAGGACTGCATGGACTCGTGAAGGTGAGCTCGAACCAACGGTCACGCGCCTTTACCGTTGTAACAAGAGTCGTAGCAGGAGGGGGAGTGTGTGGAGGGGGGGGGGGTTCCACGCAAACATTGCCGCGTCATTAAAAAATCCCATATAAATGTTACACTACTAAATAAACCCCGTGCATATGTGTTCACAATGGCAGCGTGTTGTTGTTATAACGACATGTTGGTGACGGTGTTTCTAAAGAGTCCCCCCGCACAGCTGATATGTCTTGTGTTTTGGTTCAAGGGTTCATGGGCGGAGGAATGAGGAAGTAACCTTAGCGTACTAATAAAGGCTAGAGGAGAGCTAGAATGCAACGCAGAAAGCATGCACAGCGAAGTCAATAATCTACCTAGTTTACGTTATTCCAAAAAAATGGTTGTCATCACGTTAGATGATATCAGTGTAACCTTGCAGCACGCACGCTTTACCAGCATACAAGTGCTGTTATGCCTGCAGCTTGTCACATGTCATAACGGTAGCATAGAAGCTACCACATGTTATGATTTGTAATATGTTCATAACACACACATTTTAAACGTTTTATTTTTTTTAGCAAAACTCGTTAGTGATCCTGTGTTATAATGTTTTCTCGCTTGTTGGAATTAAGGTGAGCTTTTGATATTTTTGTCAGCTAGGGCTATAACTAACTACATTCTTATATATGAGGGATTTTGCTGTGATGATTTCAGATGTCTTATTTTGTCAGTCCGTATACCAATGGCAATCATTTTACAATCAAAGAAGAAATCAAAAATGTATTAGAAAATAATTAAGTGGTGAAGTTTTACTTTAAAATACTTTATAAAATGTGTTTTCAGTTTATTTTGTATCAAAGACTCAATTATCATCTAATTGTTACAGCTCTTCAGTAACCTTATGTTATAAATGTAAATGAAACATATTTTCATTGATTTGATTTTTGCATTTACCTTCTAGGCTATGAATTCCTCTGGGCATGGAGACGTTTCAGATGAAGAGATGCTTGAGAAAGGTAACTAATGCAATCTGTACCTACCTGCAAAGGTTTACTGTTTTAGTATAGCAACCCATTTGTTATCAAGTTCAAAAATACATTAATATTCACATGGTAGAATTTCCAGATAAGAGGTAGGTCAATTCCCTCATTAGAAGAAACAAAACAATATCAAAGTGGCTAAAAAAAACTAAAGGACTGAAGTCTGCTCATCTAAAAAGATATTATGTATGCATCTATATCATTATCAATAACACTTGTGTCTCTATGTGTCGGCCAGAAATCAAATATTTAAACTAAGTGGTCTCTCATGATTTACAGAAAAAAAGCATGACCAGAATGTTAAGGAGGAATCAGACGACTTGGCTATTTGTGCGTCCCCTGAAGGGCTTAGAGGAGGACCTCCTGGAGCCACTGAGGCTGCTAAACGTCCCTCTGCAGAGACGGGACCTCACACAAACCAGCCCACCGGCAGCAAGAGAGCCAGGGTCTCTAGCGAGGTAAATCTCAGACCCTTTTATCTATAGTACACAGCACAGACAATATGCACTTGTTTTAAAGATCAAAGTTGTCATGTGTTTTAAATTTCATCTCCTCTGTCTAGATGAGGCGGTACTTGCTGGATGACAGCAGCAGCAAACATGAGCCTCTTTGCCTCACCACAACTGGCGAGAGGGGGGGTTACATCCAGCAGAAACCCAGAGTGTCCTACAGAAAGCCTCTCTTCAGCATCTCCCACAGGATCTCAGAGAAGAGGACCACACCAAGTCTGGAGCAGCAGGCCAGCATCCTCTCGTCAAAGCTCAGAAGTTCGGAGGAAAATGGCCCATTGGATTCTCTGCCCACCATAGACGCTTTAGGGCAACCTCCGTCAACGGACTCCAGTCTTTATCCTCTCATTGAGAAAATGTTTCTCATTCTCAATACCCTCAATTCAAGCATGACACAACTGCATAGCAAAGTGGACGTGTTGACGCTTGAGGTGATGCGAATAAAGAAGCAGATCAAGCCAGCTGGGATGGTGACGGAGTTCCAGCCTCCTCCTGAATACCTGCTAACAAGTGATGAACTGAACCAGCTGATGGAGCAGACCTCCAGCGCCGGGGAGCTCGGGTGTCGGCTGCTGGTGCATCTCTTCCCTGAGCTGTTCAAAGCCAGGGAGTGCTCTCACGAGTGCATGGCCAGCAAGAGAACACTTGAGTCTCTACATCTGCAGCTGATCCGCAACTATGTTGAGGTGTGCTACCCTTCAATCAAGAACAACAGCGTCTGGCAGGAAGAATGCCTCCTGCAGATTAATGACTTGTTTAACCGCTTCTGGGCACAGAGGGACGTGGAGAGTGCTCGGCTGCTCCGGAAGCAGACAATCACGGCCGCCGGGATAAAGCCTGAGCGCCCTCAAACCTATCGTTTCATTAATGAGCAGGGCCGGGAGGAGCACATTTCTTTAGATAACCAGCAAAGCAGCGAGGGTGTGGCAGACCTTGCTTTTAATATCCAAGCCACGGAGGAGCTGGACGAGTTCTCCTCACCTGAGGACTTTGTTCTTTTCCTTATGCACCGTCTCTTCCCTGAGGTTTTCGAAGAGGGGAAAATGCCTGAAGGCTCCAGCAGTTTCAGTAGTGCGGGGCAGCTAATTCTGGACTCTGACAAGATGGAAATAATAAGAAAGTACATGGAAGCTAATTTCCCAGATGTGCCTGAGGACAGCTGGCTTCAGGTGTGCATTCAGAACATGGAGGATGCACTGGAGGGTCCTCACAGTATTGGGGATGGGAGCGAACCTGACAATAACAATGATGAGGGCTATGACCTGGCCAGTCTTCCAGAAGATGTGTCTATAATTCGGGTTTCAGAGGCGGGTGATGGTGAAAGGCCTTGCCGCAAAGCCAAAAAGTCACTGCTTTCACCTGTGGATTTTGACAATCTGGAGATTCCTCTTCCTGACTTTACCGTCCACCAGGAACACCTCCTGTCCAGGGAGCAGCTGAAAAACAACTATGAATGTAGCCTGTCCATCGGGAACTTTGCCTCTCGGCTGCTGGTGCTCATGTTCCCTGAGCTCTTCACCCACGAGAACACCAGGAAGCAGTACAACTGCAGCGGTTCTCTTGGTAAAAAACAGCTGGACCCCGTTCGTGTGAACTTGATCCGTCATTATGTGCAGTTAGTCTACTGTCGGGCCAACAACGACAGAGTGTGGATGTTGGAATTTGTGGGCAAGCTCGATGAGAGGTGCAGGAGACGCGACACGGAGCAGAGAAGGTCCTACCTGCAGCAACGCAAAGTCTACGGTCAAGACTCAGATCAGGACTTTCTTTGCCAGCTGAACCAGCTCAATCAAGACAGCATGAGGGAGGATTCAGAAGTTCCTTCTTTACCTCCTGAGAAAAGTAGCAAAGACTTTTGTAAAATACCCCTGGACGAACTGACTGTATCCAAGCCCGACTTCCCTGTACCTTCTGTCTACCTACTCTCGGACACTGAGGTACGGGAAGTCGTCCAGCAGAGTCTCTCTGTTGGGAACTTCGCTGCCCGCCTTTTGGTGCGCCTCTTCCCTGAGCTCTTCACTCAGGAGAACCTCCGGCTGCAGTACAACCATTCAGGGGCCTGCAACAAGAAGCAGCTGGACCCCGTGCGCCTCAGACTGATCCGTCACTACGTGGAGGCAGTGTATCCTGTGGATAAGATGGAGGAGGTGTGGCACTATGAATGTGTGCCAAGCATCGACGAACGCTGCCGGCGCCCCAATCGCAAGAAGTGTGACATTCTTAAGAAGGCCAAGAGGTCAAGCACTATGTCCTAGTTACTTTTCACTTAGGCAACACCTGTTGGAATAAAAATAATTGCACAGTATATAAGCTGAAACCGCATCTTTGAACTTTTCAAACAGTCCTATGTAGGATGAAGCCAATCTGTTAGGATTTATTTCAGTACTATTCAGTCATATTTTACCTTTTGTCTACAGCAGTAGTTTATGTAATCATATTAATGTTAGATAAATAGATTAAATGCTTCTATTTATAAGCCAAAACTGTCATAGCTTCTCTAACATACTTTGTTGAACAATGTTGTAGCCTTAACAACAATGACAATGATAGTAGCATATAGCATAGCTCACACTATGGATAGAAATGAATCACAATGAAGTGATACATTTCCGTTGCTGTTACTGATGTAGCATTGTGCCATCAGGGTTTTAATAACAATGTGCTTATGTTAAGCCTTCTTATAGAAGTTTATATTATAAAGACAATTAACATGACGTTGATCATGGTAACTATTTCTAATAAAGTCACAGCTATAAACATAACATTTGATTGCACTGTTTTACATAAAGGAACTGTGAGGTTCTTAGTGACATACAGAGTTTTTACTGTACACTCTCCAAAAAAATTGCAATGAGGAATTGCGAAAAGGATATCAGTAGCCAAACCTTCCAAAACGCTAACAACTCTGATGAATATTCATTCATTTGCTCTCAGTTAGACATGATCTCAAAGTGTCAAAGTGCACCTTTATTGGAGGACTCACAGTATAGAAGGGGAAGGTAAACACTGAATAAATTTCTCTGAGAAAACTGTTGACATGTCTACACCCGCTACAAGCCTTAACATTACACTTTAGTAATCCATTAGAGATCCAACTTTTTGGAGATTGCCGGTCAATTGATGGCATTCAGTTCTGCCGGTGTTGTTGCCTTCATTAGCAAATGGTATTAAAGTCCACACTGTCCTGTTCAAGTTCATGGCTTGAAGGCCTCCTCTTTGGGAAGCTCTAAACATTTCCATCGTCGTATGGCAACTTTGTACTTTTCTGTGTGACTCATTTCTTCCAAAACCCTCCGAAGGCAGACTCTCATCAGAGTGACAGTGTTTGTTTCTCCGTTCTCCGACAGTATCAGGTCCAATGTGTCCCCAACTTTAACCTAAACAAATCAAATATATAGGAGCAATTAGAAATAAGATTGAGGCACTAGTGGAAAACTAAGAAATTAGAGTAGGAATATGTTGTTCATTACTCACCGTTTTACTTTTCTTGATGAGTTTTTGTCCATTTAGCCTGAGTTTGTTGTCATAGAAGGACACCTCAATTTTACTGGAATAGGAGAACAGACAGTTAGTCTTTACATCGACTGCTATAGTATGAGAACAAATCTGAAGACATCTCAAAATGGGTCAAACCATTTGGCTGATAAATAATTCTAATAAATAAGTATAGTAATAAGTAGTGAGATATGAAGATGGGATGTAATGGTTGTATCTCAGAAGTTACAAGGAAGTTCAAGTATTGGGCATCTTATCCAATAACTAATAGTACAGTATTATATGTTGTGTGAGAAAAGTTGATAGTATGCCCTTATGATCTATACATTTAAAAACGTTGCTGTTTCATACTTTCCAAAGTATGTCTGTAACATATTTCCAGAATTTAGACCAGGGTTGTCCAAACTATGGCCCGGTGCCAACTGCGGCCCATTTTTTATTGGCCCTCACCCAATTCAAAAATTATGTTTTTCCTATATTTGACTTCTTAAATATCTATCGAACATATATTACACTGTAGTATTCATGTGTTAATAAGCCCATTTTCAAATCAATTCAGTTGAAACATTTCCTTTCTAAATCTTAGTTGGTCAAAAATAATCCCAATAATTTATCTGCATAACAAGTTTGAAATATACCCTTCCTATTTCCCCTTATAATAAGCAATCTGATGCTCCTGGTATAAGGAATGAGCTGCCAACACTTATGTAACAAAATGAATGAAATTTTAAAAAAAAGCTGTGATGGCTGCAAGCATATTCAGGTATCAAGAATCATTTAACTAAATGACAATGATTTTGCTAATTGATAACCTAATTTATGAGGCAATATCATAGACTGTATATAAATGGACGTAGTGTCCGTAACGTCACCCATAGGATTCTGCAGAGTTGCCGTTAGTAGGCGGAGTCGGCTACTAACGGCTTGACAGCAACGTCAGAGTCTAATCCCGCCTGCTCCAAATAAGGGCAAAGAGGCGGAGCCGAGGCGGAACCTTCTGCCTCCGAAATGGCAGTAAACAGAGCTAGCTCAGGCAAAGAAGCTAAGCTAACATGAAATACATGCATACCAAGTTACTGCTAACAGTTTAGTTCCCCTATACAAACGTTACATTCATAATCAAATGAGACAATCTGCAAGAGAATTAGCTATATTTTGTTATTCTTAATGCTTGTCATTCACACGTTAAGAAAAGACGGACTCCACCGCCCGGACCTAACGGAGCCTAACGGAGCCGCAGTGGGCTAGCTCCGTTAGCTCCGGCGGCCACCACTGGGGATAATTGGGTCCCCTATTAACATTTGCTCCCGTTTAGCATTATGGGCGTCATAGCCATAGACTATAAAAGTCTTACCCAAGGCTGAATCATAAACTAAAATGTATATGTATGTATAAAGGGTTACGTCCTTAGCTGGCTAATAAGTAACAAGCTAAACACCTGCG